AACTTCATCACAACTATTTCCTTCCCTGGAATTTCCCTGGGGCTGTATCAAAACCAGCTTTCCCCTAAATCAGAGCAGCAGCCGGATGTAAAGTAGGTACCTACTGACTGGCCCCTTCAGCATATCTCTGAGTGCAGATGGTAAGCAAAATGGTTATTAAAAGGTTAGAGATCCCTCCAGCTGACAAGACGCCAAGCCCAGGTGACACGCCTTTTACAAAGTGCTAATGGACACGGAGTCTGAAGCTGCAAAACTGTAGGAGACATTTTGACAGCTCAGCTGAGTGGCAGTCCCCAAAGGCAAGGAAATGCCTCAAATAAATAAATCATCATTTTTAAAGGAGACCAAAAACCAGACACAGAAGGAAACACAGCAACAGCAATAGCTGGTGATGTATTAGCCGAGCTAACCTTAGAACTGTTTTCATACAATATTTCTAGGAATGAAAAAATCAACAGGGAGTCGGGAGTGGGGATATTTTAGAAAAACAAAACAAAGACAAAAACTTTATATCTGAATTATAAATAATAATGGGTGAATCTGTAGGCTTCATTTCTTCTAATCTTCAATTCATTTCTTCACATTTACATTTTTAATAAAATAAATAAACACTCTCATGAAAATTCATCAATATTTTAGACCAATTTTCTCCAGATATGCACATATTTGCCTAATATACAAATTGCAAAGCAATTGCCTCAAATATAATGCATTTTGCATGTTATTTTCACTATTTATTTATTTATTTATTTATTTATTTATTTATTTATTTATTTTGTATGCCATCCTTCATCCATAGGGGTACAAGGCAGTTCACAACATAAAAATACAAAATGAGAACACAAAATACATACAGTGGTACCTCAGGTTACATATGCTTCAGGTTACACACGCTTCAGGTTACAGACTCCGCTAACCCAGAAATAGTGCTTCAGGTTAAGAACTTTGCTTCAGGATGAGAACAGAAATTGTGCTCCGGCGGCGCAGCAGCAGCAGGAGGCCCCATTAGCTAAAGTGGTGCTTCAGGTTAAGAACAGTTTCAGGTTAAGTATGGACCTCCAGAACGAATTAAGTTCTTAACCCGAGGTACCACTGAGGCAAGGAAAGAAGGGCTACCCTTATGCTATTCATATAATCAGTTATCAGTAATCAATATATTCACATATGCTCACACATAATCAGGGCTTACAGTATTTTATAATCCATTTTGAATCAAAGGAAAGCTTTTGCCTAAGCTAACTGCAAACTGCTTGGAACAGCAACTTTAGAACCGACCTTTCACCTAGAAACATCCTTGTACCCTGAACAAAGGGGAAGACATGAATAAGAGACACTGGTACAAAATCCCCCTCAAATGCAGGCTAAAATAGTCCACAGAACAGGAAGGGCCAAACCACAAAAACTCCAAAACTCCCTGTTCTGTCAGAACTAGGGAAAAGGTCAGATTGTGCATCATTTGTGCAGACAATGGAAAGCAGAAGCTGGGAATAAAACTCTGCGCTCGCCCGTGAGCATGGCAAGAAGCACGCTAATTGGCTAATTTTTGCTGGCGTTCGTGACTGTCTCATGATTGTCTCATGATCTGTGATTTGCTCAGGTATAAAGACCTCAGGATTTGTGTTTCTCGGGGTCCCAGTCCTTTTGGAAAAGATTCCAACTGGGTCCATTATTGCTCAGCAATAAACCCTCACCTTCTTTTCTCCAAAAGCTGTGTCTGTCTGATCCTTGTTACACTCTAAGTGGGTACCACCTTACTTTCACGTGCTACACCACTGTAATAAAACAGACAAACAAAAAACCTCCTACAAAGACATTTAAAAGGCCATAGAATGTTAATCGGCCAAAGGCCTAGTTATAGAGAAATGTTTTCATCTGGTGCCTAATGAAGGCACCAGGCAAGTCTTTCTGGAGAGAGCTTTCCAAAAACAGAGAACAAACAGAGAAAAAGCTTGTTCTTGTGTTGCCACCCTCCAGACCTCTTGTGGAAGAGGCACATGAAGAAAGGTCTCAAAATGATAGTTGCAGGGTCCAGATCGGTTAAATGGGGAGAAGAAGACTTACATATAACGTGTTGCTGTAACCAAACCTAGAGGCTACCAGAGCATAGACAGCGGAAGTTAGGTTATCCCCATCCAGATAGAGGCACAGCTGTGCCGGCAGCCAAAGCTGATGGAAGGCACTCTGCGACACCGAGGCCACCCGAGCCTCAAGCAACAACAAAGGATCCAGAGGGAGTGCAACTCCATCAACAGTAGGCAACCTCCCATCCATCCAATCTAGGGAACTGCCCACTAAAAGTGGCTCAGTCTTATCTGAATTGAGCTTCAATGTGTTGGTTTTCATCCAGTCCATTACCAAAGCAAGACAACAGTCCAGCATATCCACTGCTACATCTGCAGATGTAAAGAAGAAGTAGAGCTGTGTGTCATCAGCATATTGCTGACAACGTACTCCAAAACTCTGGATGACCCCACTCAGCAGTCTCATGTATATGTTAAACAGCATAGTGGATAAAAACACCCCATTGAAGGCTTCATGAGGCCCCAAGCATCACCCTCTGAAAATAGCCATCTAAGTGTGAGAAGAACCAATGCAAAGTAGTGCCAACCACCCCATCAGAAAGTGCAGATCAGGTGGTTTCTCCCCTAAATCAAATTTTCCTTCCCCCATCACTAATTGTAAAACAGTCCCATGCTTTGAAGAAAACACAGGTGAGATTCTCAAAAGCTGGCTTGCTTGCTTTTCTTCTGATGAGCCCATGATGAAAAGGAACTGACAGCAGGGAAAGGTATTCTTTCCTGCAATTTGGATGCTATCAGCTATTGAAGGCAAGGGTCATCAGAACCGCAGCAGTCTCTTCACGTCCCTAGCATACTTTTCAAATGTCCTGCGGATACTTATCAGGAAGAAAACCCTCAAACCAAAAAAAAATCAATATTGAGCACAAGCTTTTCCTCCTGCCCAGCAAATGCTGTTCACATGCAAACCAACTGCATGTAACTTTTGCAGGGAGAGATAAGCTACCCCCTGTGCAAGTTTGTCTAACTTGTCTGATCCCCCTGTTAAAGCTGTCCATGTTAGTGCTAGCAACAGCATGCTGTGGTAGCGAATTCCATAGTTTAACTATGGACTGTGTGAAGGAGTTCTTCCTTTTGTCTATTCTGAAGTTCCCAACATTCAGCTTCACCAAAAACTCAAAGTTGAACACTCCATCAATCTAAGTCCAATACTCTTCTGAGACCCAAGTCCATTGTCTGGACATTTGCTCCCAGACAACCGGACAGGGAAGTTTATATAAATGAGGTCTCTCCCCCAAGCCATTAATGAGTTAATAAGTGTCTGCCTTTTAAAAAACTTTTTGGATGGGCTCCTATTTGAAAGACTGAGTATATGATGTTTCAAAGTCAAATGCAGCACAAATAATTTGAACAGAAAACGTCCAAAATGTGTTGAATAAGCAATCATTTATCATTTAACCATTCAAGAAATAAGAATCATCTTGGACTAACTCTGTACACGAAAAAGGAAAGCTTGATTTTCTTAATGGGCAACGGTTAATATTAAAAATGCCTTAGGCTAAATGAGATGGTGAATTTGGTTGGATGTGATCCTTTCCTCCCTCCCCCCATAACATAAAAATTAATTTTTTTCAAAAAGCTGAGATGCAGCAATGCAACGTGAAAAGCCTATCTTTCTCAATCTGAGAAGAGTTGCATTTGCTAAATACAACACCCCATACCCAGAGGGAAGCTACTGTATGACTAAAACTCTCACAAATTAAATTAGGGGCCTTAAGTGGGAGACAGTAAAACATACATGCATCGGATGGTTAATGCATGACAACAAAACAATCTTTGACTGTTACCAGGCTTGCATGATAACACATGGGTTCCTATCCTGCTTTGCAGGTGAGCTTTCCTAGCAGGGCTGGAGGCAAAATGGATAGGGGAAGAAAGTTGGTGGTTAAGTTCTGAGCAAAGCAGATAAGGGAGCCAAAAAGAGACAAAATGGTTGGGGTGGGCTGGTGGTCAGATAGTAGATCAGGCAAATGAGAACCAGAAGATCCAGAAGCAGAAGATGTGGTCAAGGATGAGGGGGTGGTCAGCTGTCAGATGAGGTGGGACAGGAGCCTGTTTAGTCTTTCTGTCATGGAACAAGACTAGGCAGCCAAACCTAAGAGATATGTTATATAGGCTTCCAATTGGGTCCTCAGGTAACATTGTTCCTCTTTGGCTGTATGGCTTAAGTTTTCCTCTAAGCTTTCCTTTTGGCATGATGCTGTCGCGTTCCCTTGCTGGAACATGTCAGTGCCTTATACACAGGCGAGATTTTGTCCAAAATTGCAGTGAGAGGGAAAAGATGGACCTTACTCACCTAGCTACCCAGCACGCCTTCCCAGTGTTCAACACCATTAGATATTTACACAGGGCTATAACGTTTCAGCAGCACATGTGTGAGTACAATCAAATGTAAGTGGGTACAAATCACACGATTCGTCCTTGGGGGTTTGCTTTCTTTCCTGGAAATTGACCATATGAAATGGGCCTACATGTGTCAAATTGTAGACATGTGGGGCCCATTTGAATATTATATCTTTGTGTGCATAACCCTAAGGTGGTATCATAGGTTACTCATACCAGATCAGTGGACCAGTACTGCACGCTCACTCTTGCTCTCCTTTATAAGGAAGCAGTTGGGAAAGTATTGTCCCATGAGGCTGTGGTTTGCAATGAACCTGGAAATCAGGTGGATGAATGGAATGTGAAACAGAGGGTGGTGGTTATGAGTCTGTACATACAAATCATGGTTTGATATTGCATCTGCAGTGAACCAAGCCAACGATTTCATCTATTGTAAACACTATAAAACAGTGGTTCCCAATTACCTAATTACTGAGGACCCCCCTATTTTTCAAAAGCCAAGCCATGAACCCCTTACTTTTGAAAAATTAGATAACTCTATGGTAGTTACCTGTGCAAAGCATTTTTATTTTTATTTTTGTAAGAAAATGTGGGATAACCCCTAATAAGCAAAGGATTTTAGGTATACTGTAAAACAGACCATAAAATTTGTGATATTCCCACAAATTGCCAATCCACAGACAGTAGGAAAAACATGTCTCCATTGCTCCACTACAACTAAATTTTAAAAAGCAAGTGTCCCTAACTTGCAAGCGTTCTATATGCAGAAGGCTTTTTATATGAGAGAGTATTCAAACATGCTATTCCTTACTTGTAATCTGAGATGGTACATCTTAGCAAAACTTTGCAGCATATGGTTCTGCTGAGTGCATCCTCAAGACATAGGTGAAGGCTTGTTCAGGGCCTGATAAAGTATTGGTGAAGACTGAGTAGAAAACAGCTGGAATTGTGTAATGTTGGTAATAGTAGTAGTAGTTTCAGTCATCGTGATATATTGGCATATGCTAGTATTTAGCTGTTGATATATCACAATGTTGAAAAGTTTTGCCCAGCCCTAGCACTAAACTATATCATCAGAGGCTGAGCTGTTGTGCTAATCATAGTGGCAATTTGCTTAGCTATTTCCCATGTTGTACTTCCAAGATGAGACATGAATCCCAATCTCATAAAGCAAGATTCACTGAAACCCTACCTACAAGCAGTGAGAGAGTCATTTAAACTTGTTAGTCATTGAAAGCACTTATTTCTTTTCAATTAAAAACTAGAGAGTGAGGAGAAGGGATCCCTTACATTGTTTTGAATGATAAGCATGTGAGCTGTTTGCACTCTCCCCCCTCCAATCGCAAGAGCCCTAAGAAACTGTATCAGAGGTTTGTGCCCAATCCCAGCTCACTTGCTATCCAGCAAATCTTTCACAAGTTTTTCCCCCTGCCAGCAAGCAGGTGTTGGTTGTGAGCAGAGGCTGGATGATCCGTGCAAGGCTTTCACTGTGCAATTAACAAAATAAGTGAGTCCCAGGCAGGGGATGGTGCCAGGGATCCCTTGGGTGTGTTACGTGGACCCTCAGAGGTCCCCAGACCCCTAATGGGGAACCACTGCTATAGAATGTTTGTTTGTTTAAGCTTTTTTTTGTTTTATCATCTATGCCAACAGACCCCAGAACCTACACCTATAAAATGAAACAAAATAGCACACACACACACATTTTTATAACTCAACACAGAAGAAAAAGGGGAGCATTAAATCCTCCATCAATTTCAGGCAATGCTCAGCAGCCGCATTAATCATTTCCTGAATCTGTTTGTTTTTGCTTTATTTATGCACTAGTGGTTTAAAAAAAATGATTATTTATTATTACATTACATTTATAAACCACCTTTTCTTCCAAGGAGCTCAGGGCATTACTATGTTGATAGAAATGTTGGCTAATGCTGTAGTTATTATTGTTAGCAACTTTGAGCACAACATTGTTGTTCGAAAAGCATAATAAGAGTCTCAAATCAAATCATAATTCTGCTGTGAAAAATCAACTAACAATTATTCACCCCCACCCCACCCCTCCTCCTAAAACCTACCAAAAGTAGTGTCTCTCTTGACCTGCTTTCTAAAAGTGTATAGATGAAAAAGTCAGTGAAGAGGGAAATCTCAATTACAGTGGTACCTCAGGTGACAAACACCTTGGGTTACAAACACTTCGGGTTACAGACTCCGCTAACCCAGAAGTAGTACCTCAGGTTAAGAACTTTACCTCAGGATGAAAACAGAAATCACGCACCGGCTAAAGTGGTACCTCAGGTTAAGAACGGTTTCAGGTTAAGAAGAGACCTCTAGAATGAATTAAGTTCATAACCAGAGGTACCACTGCATTGTTTACAGATATGGCCTTAATATTCTGATGCAGAAGGGGAAAGGTTCCAAGTAAGATAACTTTGAAACAAGGAAGATTCAAACATCAACACCACACTTCAAAGGTTGACAAGTTTGTTGGTGTTCTACTTCTTAGTGAAATCTGAAAGTGATTTCATACCTTCGGTGCAAACTGGTGTTCCTGTCAGATGCTGTAGACTTCATAGATTTGGGGGGGGGGGGGGTACAATTGACAAACACCATAAATAAAAATCCAACTTAATCTACTAGCGTATGGCTGGTTGGTTTTCTTCAACACCATTCAGGAAACAAGTTACTGTTAACTAGTTCAGCGAGTCATGGAAGAAGCTCACATTTTTGTCAATTCTATTAATAAGCTAGAGAATTATACAGATCACCCTGACATTTGAGGTACTCACTGATTTTGCTTTTATAGTCCAAAGAACAAATGATGCTGGAAGCTGTTTAAATGCACAAAAATAAAATGAAAATGTAGGATATATCAAAGAGAGAAAGGATCTGCAGAGGAAAGCAAATGTGATCAGCCCATTCTTATGGAAATTCACTCTGTCTAGACCTACCAAAAATGCTACTTTACTGCTAGTCAACAAGAATGGATACAGCACAATGCAGAAGACATTGACACTGGTATCAAGGCAGATGCCATTAATGTATGTATATTAAATTATTCTGTTCATTTCTTATTCATGATGAACAGAATACATTTTTTCTCGCATTCTTCATATCATTTATGAAGTCAAATCCACCTCATGTGTTGACAGAACAAAAGAGAGAGAGAGAAGAGAGATTTCAGTTTTAATGGTGTCCTTTTTCAGCTGGACTGGGAGCACACAAGTTGTGGAGCAATCTCTGGAGGAACTTACAAGGAGTACATTATATATTCTATATATTAAACACATTTATACTGAACACTTCATCAACACTGATACCAGAGCAGGATGCAATATATGGCAGGATCGACAGCCAAATTTGTACAGCAATAAAACATTGAAACAGACTAATCAAAACAAATGCTAATAACACAGAGGAAGGCAGCTAAAAACAGCAAGGCAATCCTATCCAATCCCACACTTAAAAATACTTAAAATGCCTTGCTAACAAGCAAGTTTAACTTCTGTGAAAACTGTGAAAACAAAAGCTGCCTTCTACTGAAACAGGCTATGGGTTCATTTAGTGTCCAGACTCTAGCTTATTATTGCCTACACCAGGAGGACAGAGAGATCTTTTTAGCTCGAGGGCCACATTCCCTTGTGGTCAACCTCCCCAGGGCCACATACCAGTGTGGGCTGGGGCCAGAGGGAAAAGTGGGCAGGCCCATGTTCATTAATTTCACTGTTGTACAGTATGCTAGTTCTCCCTCACCCACCCACACATTTTTTAATTTTGGTGATGGGATGCCAACATGAAGTGATGCTTCATTTAATTAAGTCAAATCCAGGATTTCCATACATATTAATGAGCATCCTAATGAGCATTAATTTTTGATGCTTCTTCATTAACAAGCATTATAAGCCATGACAAATGCCTGTTTGACTGAATGCCAGAACTCTGATGAGCAGTGTCTAAGCGTTGCGAGGGAGGGGGGCATACTCTGGAAAGTCATCCACTGGGATTTGAATGCTAGACGAATGCTTGGCACTCGCAATGTCAAGTAGGCAAAAGTAAATGCCACGCCAGGGTACCTGCCAGTGCCCTTTTCTTCCATGTGTCTAATGGAGAGAAAAGCAGTTGTGAGCTGCAAATAACTGGCCTTAATCATTTCATTTCAAGCTATAGGGGAAAGAAAGAAAGAGTGAAAGAAAGAAATTTTTGAATGCTAGAGTTGAGGGGAAACAATTTAGACTGAATAAAGTTCTTCTATGACTTTTTAAAGCTACACTTCTTGAGTAATGATTTTATCATCATCATTATTATTTACTTGCCTAAGATAGGGCAATCTCTAGAAGACTTACAATCAAGTTTAAAACCATACAGAATTTTAACATACGTATTAACAACTGAAGCAAATCATAAGGATGTGTAAATGTCTTTGTGGATTCTGTTGTTTATTTACTCGCTATATTTATATGTAACCTTTCCTCCGGGGAGCTCAAGGCAGTATACATAGCTCTTTTCCTTTCCCCTCCATTTCATCATCACAACAATCTTGTGAGGTAGGCTTGGCTGAGAGGTTGTGACTGGTCCTAGGTCACCCAGTGACCTTCATGCCCAACTGCAGATCTGAACCTGATGGAGCCCCATCTGAAGGCAATGTGTTGCTGGGCTCTTCTCAAACCTGGAGCCAGTTTTGCTTTCCCCAACACCTGAACCTGAAATGATATATGATGGGTGTGAGAGATGTGAATATCTCTGCCTCCCCTATGGCTAACACTACCCTAGCTCCAACATTAACTTATCTCTGCCTTTCCCACTCAATAAAAAGTGAGGCGAGAAAGTGTCTGATCCCCCCGCCCCACTTGTTGGCATCCATCTGTCTTGTGAGACAGTAGAGGAGTGTGCCTTTGGGGGTGAAGTCAAGCTGTTGGCAGGTTGCAGTGCCTGCTGTGGCTGTAGAGACTGAAATGCAAGAGACAGGTTTTGTTGCAGCTGGAGCAGATGGTGTCCTGTTGTGCTGCAGCAGATGCACCATGTTGTTGTTTTTCTCCCTGCGCTCCTCCCAGCAGTCATTCCTCCTCTGGTCACTGCTATGGATACAGGACTTGACTGCCTGTCTCCAGGCACTGGAGGATTCCCACATGGACGGGCTGATGTTGCCAGCCTTCATGTCACGTTTGCAGACATCTTTGTAATGTAGAGCTGGTCTGCCAATTGGCCTGGTGCCAGAAGACAGCTCCCTGCAGAGCACGTCATTGGGGATCCTGTCATCTTCCATTCTGTGGACATGACCAAGCCAGACATGAAAGGTGTTGTCAGGGAATAAGAGTGAGTCCCCTTCCGGTGGTGGAGCAGAGTACTCTGAAACAGAAGGGGACAGGCCCATCCCAGAAGCCTCATCATGTGATGAGCTTACTGGGTCGGTATCCCCCTCAGCCAAAGGATGTGGAGATGACTTTGAGGACTCCACAGAGGATTCAGCGTAACCAGAAATTTCCCTGCTCCATTGTCATATATAGAAGAATATCAACATCTTTATCAACGACTTGGATGATGGACTCAATGGCATCCTGATCAAATTTGCAGATGACACCAAACTGGGAGGGGTGGCTAACACCCCAGAGGACAGGATGACACTTCAAAACGACCTTGACAGATTAGAGAACTGGGCCAAAACAAACAAGATGAATTTTAACAGGGAGAAATGTAAAGTATTGCACTTGGGCAAAAAAATGAGAGGCACAAATACAAGATGGGGGACACCTGGCTTGAGAGCAGTACATGTGAAAAGGATCTAGGAGTCTTGGTTGACCACAAACTTGACATGAGCCAACAGTGTGACGCGGCAGCTAAAAAAGCCAATGCAATTCTGGGCTGCATCAATAGGAGTATAGCATCTAGATCAAGGGAAGTAATAGTGCCACTGTATTCTGCTCTGGTCAGACCTCACCTGGAGTACTGTGTCCAGTTCTGGGCACCACAGTTCAAGAAGGACACTGACAAACTGGAACGTGTCCAGAGGAGGGAAACCAAAATGGTCAAAGGCCTGGAAACGATGCCTTACGAGGAACGGCTAAGGGAGCTGGGCATGTTTAGCCTGGAGAAGAGGAGGTTAGGGGGTGATATGATAGCCATGTTCAAATATATAAAAGGATGTCACATAGAGGAGGGAGAAAGGTTGTTTTCTGCTGCTCCAGAGAAGCGGACACGGAGCAATGGATCCAAACTACAAGAAAGAAGATTCCACCTAAACATTAGGAAGAACTTCCTGACAGTAAGAGCTGTTCGACAGTGGAATTTGCTGCCAAGGAGGTGTGGTGGAGTCTCCTTCTTTGGAGGTCTTTAAGCAGAGGCTTGACAACCATATGTCAGGAGTGCTCTGATGGTGTTTCCTGCTTGGCAGGGGGTTGGACTCGATGGCCCTTGTGGTCTCTTCCAACTCTGATTCTATGATTCTATGATTCTAGGAAGCTGCCTTAGGAAGCTGAGTCAGACCATTAGTTCATCTTGCTGAAAGGCAGTGACTTTCTGTTTTCAGACAGAAGCCTCTCCCAACCCTACCTGGAGATGCCAGGGATTAAAACTGAGACCTTCTGCTTGCAAGGTAGATGCTCTACCACTGAGACTAATGGAGAGGCTGCACCCTTTTAAGCAAAGTACAAGTGTACTGAGAATGATGGAGGTGGGGGCAAAGTCATCTTTTAAAACATCTTTTAAAACTGAGCCACAGGTGACATCCATGATCCAGGTGAGGTCTAAGTCCAGAGTATTTAACATTCATTTCTAAAGGGGTGGAGCAAACTTGTCCCTTTGGCAAGATAAAGGAGCACCCTTCTTTCTGTCATTCAGGACCTCTGTGCAAAGCAAAAACAACACCCATCAATTTAGGGCTCCTCCAGCCCCATGTGGCCTGTTTATATACCGCTCATCCTGATTTGCTTGCACAATTTTTTTGCAGGGGTTAGACTAATTCCAAACTTCATTAAGCATTAACTTTGGTTTGTTTATAGTGCTGTTGTACAACAATGAGCATTCATCCTGGCTTGCTTGTGGGATGTTTGCATGATTTTGCATTACTCATGGATTCATCCCACATTTTTCAGTGCATTTCCCTGTCCCTTAACTTACTGCAAAAAGTCTATTGTGGCTGCAGTTTTTAAAAGTGGATTCATTGTGCTAGGGTGCTTTACTATACTACAATTGCACAAACCTAAATTTCCAGTGTGCATTTGAATTCCTCCCACAAAATACTGACAGTCTGGGGGCACCATTAGTTTGCTCTGGGAATTTTGGGGGACATCCGAGTGGAGCTTCATCCCTGCTTTGCATCTGAGTTTTCAAACAAGGGTTGTAGCCTGCCAGGCACGTAAGGCTGGTGGAATGTTTAACTACTCTGAATCTCTAAAACATCTTTTCTAGAAGTGGCAGGCAAGTCAAGTTGTTTCCATGTCAACAGAGGTAAAGGGGGGAAAAGAGGAAGTAAATGGAATGTGTTTCTTCTGTAAACATAGCATATCAGCCATAGCCCACTGAAAGAGAGAGAGAGAGAGAGAGAGAGAGAGAGAGAGAGAGAGGTGCACCAAGGGGAGAACCAATATAAATATGTATGGATGCCTGCCTACACACAAACACAAACACACACACACACACACACACACACACTAGAAATGGGGAGAAATGGATGAACTGGTGAGTTTAAATTCAAACTTAAGAAATCACACCACACAGGGCCTTATTTACATTTGTTTGTTGCATTTTATATCAAGGTGGTGCACATGTTTCTCCAATTTCTCATTTAATCCCCACAGCAACTCTGTGAGGTAGGTTAGGTTGAGAGGCAGTGACTGGCTCCAAGTCACCCAAGGAGCTTCCTGGCCTAGCAGGGATTTAAACCCTAGTCTCCCAAATTCTAATCTGATACCCTAACCATTACACCCAGTGCTCTTTTTCCAGAAAGAAAAGAGGTGCGAAACTCACCATGAATGCCTCCCTTGTTCTCTTATAATGGCAATGGCGCCCACCTGGGAGGTGCCAGAATTGAGTTCTGGCTGGGGGAAAAGCCCTGATTACACTACACTGGTTCTCCAATAATAACTCCTTGTTCATACTGCAGAAGAGTATCTCCAACATTCTTCTTCAATATTAACAAGGAGTACTTCTTTATTTATTTATTTTTAAAAAAACAACAACCCCATGGATTAATTTAAAAGGGAAAGAGTTATTTGCACTTCTGAAGGATAATCAGTGCCTTATTAGGTATGCCAAGCAAATGCCATGAAAGAGGGGCAGAGGTGGTTGTGGGGGGATTTGTAGAGAAAGCAAGAGATTAGGAGAAGGGGGCGGGAAGGGAGAGCAGAGGGAGCTTCCACCGGGAGAGTGCCATCATCTTTCTCGTGCCAGAATATACAATGAAAGAGACAGCTTGGTATTTCTGGCTGGGTTGAGGAGCAGGAGTGCTATTAAGTTTCCCAATAAAGCCTGTTCTTCTGAGACAGCCCCTCACAGTTATGCAGGCTCAGGCTGTTTGGATAGAGCAGATAAGCTTTAGTTAAGCCTCCACATTTCCAAGTGCTTATCTGAGCCACGCTGTATATTCCAAGAAGCATCCATTTTGACACACATTACCATTCTGGGAGGGCTGAAAACAGACAGAGTCCCTGACTTTGCATAAAGCTGCACCGATTCAAAAAGCCATGGAAGGAAACAAGCACACACACACACACACACACAAAGATATATATATATTTCTGAGCTGGAATGCCTGCCCAGACTTAGGTGACACCATGGGCAGTTGAATTTTGCCATAATCATAAGCAAAAAGTATTGCTTCCCTCAGGAGGAATGTAGACAGGAATCTGCAATATACTATGTCAACTTGTTCATCTAGCCCAGTATTACCTGGAACAGACTCCATTGGGAGGTTGTGGACTCTCCTTCATTGGAAGTTTTTAAGCCATCTGTCAAGGATGCTGTTATGTATTCAGTGGCCTATGTTTGCCTGAACTTGAGTCTGGACTAAGGATTCTGAGCCCCTGTGTTCTGATTCAATACATGATATCCAGTCACAGAACATTTCAGGATTTGGGCCTCTGCCATTGGCCCTTAAACTCTGCATCATGATTCGCAGCTTGGAATCATGTTGGGAGTGGGCCTTCAGAAATGTATATAAGCAGTTGCTTTGCTCCTGTTGTTGCTTTGCTCCTGTTCTGTTAGTTCAATAAAGATTCTTGCTGTTATCACTGTGTCTTCCTTCATGGGAACCCACCTACACTTCAGATGCTTTAGTTGAGATTCCTCCCAATTCTACAGTTCTGTAATTCTATTCTTCTAGCTATACTGACCGGAAGCAGTTCTTCAAGTTCTCTGGCTGAGGAACATAAGAACTTAGGAAGCTGCCTCATACTGAGTCAAGCTATTGGGCCAGCTTGCTCATATTGCCTACACTGGCTGGCAGTGGCTCCCTGGGATTTTAAACAGATCTCTCCCAGCCCTGCTTGGTGCTGCTGGAAAGTGGGAACTTATGTGTGCAAAGCAGATGTTTTGCTGCTGAGCTAAGGCCCTTCTCCATCCATATGGAGCTGTGTTATTCTAAGTCAGGTCATTGGTTCATCTAGCTCAGTATTGTTTACACTGCCAATCAGTGGTTCCCCAAGGCTTTAGACAGGGGACATTCCCAGCCCTACCTGAGGATGCCAGATATTGAAACTGGGACTTTTTGCATGAAAAGCTGATGCCTCGCCACTGAACTGCAGTCCTTCCCATCTTTCTCATCTTTTACACACCTTCCAGTTTATCCTTTTACCTGGAGAGGTTAGCAGATATCCATCATCATTCCATATGCAAAGCATGAGCTCTGCGACTGAACAAATGCCCCTCCTCTAGTGGTGGTGACAAGAGAGCAGCAGTGAAACGGGTTGGCCATTTCCTCAAACTGATGCTGAAATGTGATGATCTGAATTTTAACGTTGGAAAAAAATGAGAAAATGAGAGTTTGTGTGCATTCATGACTTAAAATGCAGTGAGGCTGTCCCCCCCCCCCCCCGCAATTCATGTCACGTTTTATGTTGCTGCACACACATTTACTTGGTTACCTGATTTGCTTCCCTGCACCTGCAACCGTTCCAACTCCGATTCAATGAATCCCTCATTTTCGCATGTGCAACAGATATCTAAAATGTACACACTTCAGTTTAATCATGGCATGTTTTCAATTCAAATGGAAGCTGGTTTGAGGGAGAACAAAAAAGCCAGCAGTATTTCTCAAGAAACTACAGGGTGTGTATGGATTGAGGCTAATGTCATGTGCACTCGGCTTCAAACACCAGCAGTGGAGCCAGAAAAACTGGAATTGACAGATTTGTTCATCCCTGCTCCAAATCTCCCCATGCTTGATAATCTTGGATGAGCTAAAAGGATCCCCATGAGTTTCAGAAATCTTCTTAGGGCTCCTGTGATGACCACCCTGCAGGGGCTTACAGCAAGATCAGAGAAGCAAATTCTGACGTGGCTTGTGCACACACCATACATTTAAAGGACATTAAGAAACCACGGAACTGTAGTTTGCTCAGGGTGCTGGGAAATGTAGCTCTATGCAGTGTATGCTGCAGTTCCCAGGATTCTTTTCAGGGTGGATGAATGTGTCTTTAATGTGCTTTCAGTGTGTGGTGTGTGTACATAGTCATATCTTCTAGATCTGTCTCCCTATCATGCCTAGAAGACAATATTTGGAAATGTCCACCTAAGTGAATAAGGAGCAAGCTACTTGTATGTGACAAAAATGCACTATTTTTCTGTCTTTTCAATTGTCAGTGCACAAATGATGATGCAGTAAACATCTTCATAACGCATCAGGTTGCAGCTGCATTTAAGGGTGGGGGGAATCCAAATTCAATAAAATACAAATAGTGACACATTCATGGCTTATTTGAAAAGCACAGATATGTGTAAAGGGATCTGCCACAACAGGATTAAAAGAGTACAAGGTGTTGTGTTTGTTGAGTATTTGATTGTCTGTCTTGTCAGTGTAATTATGTAACAGCTGGAGATTTCTGCACGTCAACTTGTAGGTTTGTGCTCAATTTCACATTAGCAATAAATCAGTCCATATGTACGCTTTTCTTTTTCAATTTACTGCAGCATAAGTTCATTAAATCACATTGTGAATGGGGGACAACATGCCAAGAACTAAACAATCCAGTGGCTCATGCATTTGAAGCATAATAAGATTATGTATTGGAGATGCCCTCAAGTTGTGGGTCCTGCACAGTCATTTAATGTGCAGATGCTTTGGGAATTTGATCTTTGCAAACTCCTACACAAATTGCCCTAAGGGTTATTTCTTGGGACTGATGTCTGGAACTTAGGCGGCAGTCTTGCATGACAAGGCCATGTGACCCATTCGCTCCCAATGTAATGAAGCAGAATGTAGACCAGTCAAGACAGCAGAATGTAGGTTTTGCAGGGTTAAGATAGGCCGCAACTTTATTGGTTACAGATATGAAAGAACTGAGGAGAAGTGCTGGGCTGGCCTCAATTTATTCCTCAGCGGGTGGGCACAATGGCGGCCCACTGACCTGCAGTCCTCCCCAGCCAGCTGCCAGATCGTGGCTAGGCTGCAATGCTGCCTGACAGTTTAAGGTAAGCAGACTTAAAGTCTCAAGCTGAACATAAGGCTAATGGAACTTACTACTGAATAGGATAGTGGCCTGTCAGTGATCCTACAGATTCTGCACTCCCCCAAACGTGGTAATGCGGTTTAAACTGTCTTAAAATATGAATTAAAAGGTGAACTTTTGCAATAAGATAACGTTGATTTTGAGAGGAAAACTACATTTGTGCATTTATTAAAATGCACAAGGGGCTTTGGAATACAGTAAGCCTGCAACTTATGCACATTTAGCTTGTGCGCATTCAGCTTTATGAGTGAAACAAAAAAATGAAGAAAAAAGCAGTGGAAACAGGGCAGGGTTCAATGGGAAATGACATTGGCAGTCCCACCTGCCATTGAACCCAGTGGGTTTTGACTAAACACAATTTTGGCTTTAGGCATGATCCCCAGAATATAACCCCTATGTAAGTTGCAGGTTCACTGCACTTTTTAAAAATTGTTGTTGTTGTTTAGTCATGTCCAATTCTTCATGACCCCATGAACCATAGAATGCCAGGCACTCCTGTCTTCCACTGCCTCCCACAGCTTGGTCAAACTCATGTTCATAGCTTCGAGAACACTGTCCAACCATCTCATCCTCTGTCGTTCCCTTCTCCTTGTGCCCTCAATCTTTCCCAACATCAGGGTCTTTTCCAGAGAGTCTTCTCTTCTCATGAGGTGGCCAAAATATTGGAGCCTCAGCTTCAGGATCTGTCCTTTTTTTAATTAAAAAGGTGCAGATTGATGCAAAAGTGGATCTACTATGGCACGATGAGAAATAGGCTGATTTGGCCATCCCTGGTTTAATGCTTAAATGAAGAATTGTTTGCTTTGCACACTATCTGATCACAGGGTTAGGCTGTGCTCAAAACCCCATAGAAATTCTCAAGTGCCTTGAGAATGAGTCAGAAAAATGGAAACCTTTCACACATTGGAATAAAACTTTCAAAAAGCTAGAATATACATATTGACACGGCACTAATCTTAACAGACTGATCTTGCAAAAAATAATAATGTTTCATTCTTTAAAAGTTGTGTACAGGGTTTCTTTTGAGATTATCCAGCATCTTTTATAATCTTTAGGAGGAATACAAACATATTTGATCTTATGTGTCTCAATTCTGAGCTGTTATCTCTCAAATTACTGGTGTTAATGTCAGGTCTGACCCTATGGTGGACTTGCTGAATCACATTAATAATCATTTTCAGTGGGCTGCTGAATTATTTTTTAAAAACCATTTATTAGCTACCAAGATTGTTCTGGCCTGACAATGGAGAATAGCTGTAAACCTGCAATCAAATGGTGGCTGATAAAAGTGTTAAAAGTGTAAGAAAAACGCTGGGGCCTAAATTGATCAGTAGAGTGTTTGGTATGTGGTGGGCGGGGCTTGTGTGTTCTACTCCGGAATCAGCCCCTCCCTTCAGTCTGTGTTCTGTTAAGAATGTCAGTTAAGAGGGACCAACTGCCTCTTCTTGCCTCAGACTTGCCCTATGTGGTTGTATTTAGTTTCTCTCATTATGCAGTTTTGATTATTATTAAAGCTTAGTTTATATTTTTGCGAGCCTCTTATTTTTCTCGAAGAAACTCTGCTGAGGAAAGCAGTGGAATGTCCTAAACTACATGAGTGAGGGAATATTCCCAGTTTGCCAGGATTGATTTTGTTAACCATCCTCACCACCACCCCCCCACACCTCCATGACAAAAAGATTGCTGAAATAAGATTACAGACAAGATTCAATGAGGAAAAAGTTCAGACTGCAAAGGGGAGAAAAATGGTCTTCATTTACTGTATATTTAATGATTTTTAAAACTCACTGGTTTACAACCACAACTCACATAGTGTTTGTTATGCCATGCCATGCCAATCTCTACGAGCAGTGTGAGATTCCAGGGGTATCAGGCGTGCTTACCAGGGTCTGTGTTCCCTTTCGGGACAGTGAGGCACCACAGAGACTTGTGGTGTCTTTATATGGTTTATTTACACATATATGTAACCTGCACCTAAATGGGAGGATTGTAGAGCATTCACATCCTAAGAGGGGCTGGTGCTTCCCAGCAGTACAACATTGGATTCAGAGGCACCCCTTGTCTAGTTCTGCCGCTTCCTCCTCCTTTCCAGCAACACTTGTAGAAAACAACTTTTCTGCTTCCAGCATCCTGCCCCCCGCCCCGGTCACACTGGCAACTTACTCAAGCCCACTGCAAAAGGCCCTTTTTCCCTATTGCTTACAGCAGACGATTGGCAATCCTACCCAAAAAAACTACTGGGAACAGAGTCTGATATTTTGCCAATTGCTCACCATTATCAAACAAACCAGGTCCTTACCAGCCCTTTGCTTCTTCAAGACCCACCCACAGCAAACCGTTTCATGAGGAAGCTAGCTAGTATTCTTTCCTGCCCTTGCTAATTAATAAATGTATGAGTTTGCTCAAATTCTAATCCTTCACTGAATGTAGAGCTTATGGGTGGTCTGCCCACCCCCACCCCCCGGGCAAGTTATAACAGTAGGAACACAAGCAGCTGCCTTATACCCTTATCAGACCAACTAGTGGTCCATCTAACTAAGTGTTTCTACACTGTTTGCAAGTGAGTCTCCTTTCCTAGAGAAATTGTGTGTGCCAAAATACACACATAAAGTGTTGGAGTGGCATTGCCACTAGGAAACAATAGAGGTATCCATGTCTAAACCAGATTATATGTAAATTCCTCCACACAGCTGCCACCTCAGAAGTGTTTAGGCTATCCTGAAGGCCTCGGATACTTTTAAAGCCCCATCGGCAACATCCTTTAAAACCTAAATGGCTTACCTGCTCATGAATTTGTCTCATGAATGCAGTGAAGTAGCATCCTAGAATCATATTTACTTAGCTGATGAGACCAGATGAATGAAAATGTGTCATCTGTTCACTCCAGGCAAAATGTATGGTATATTGCTAACATCGCATATTTAAAATAATTTTACCCAGATTTAAAATCTAGGGCAAAAACAAATATGTCCTCCTAATCCCGGAACACACGGCAACCGTCGGAACTGCAATAAGTGATTTAAAGCTTAAATTCTGTATTAACCACCCGGCACACATGGAAGATTTTCTTTGAAATAATAATATGCAAAGGCTCCAAAGTCATTAACCACTAAACAAACTATGGGGAAAAGAATTTTTGGAAATGCCTGATCTTGAAAACACAATAGTTTCACTTTTTATCTCTTTAGCAAAGCTGCTTAAACTCTACACAATTGGAAGAGCCACCATCAGCTTTTCTAAGGAAGTTTGAGAACAGCCCACTACATTTCTTCAGATTGCTGAAGATTTGAGGGAACAGCAAAAGTAATACTGTTTGTTAGGTCTGTCTCTGCATCTTTTCCTCACCATCTGGTGAGGACCTTACTCAGAGTTTGGCTCCCCTCTTTCATTACAGGAAGCCATTCTGTTTGCTTTGTTTTACATACAATGTTGTCTCCCCTGTATTTTCTTTCCTCCTCTTCTTTCTCAGTCTCATAAATCTTTCCTCCCATCCATTCTCTTGTATTAGCAATTAGGGATTAGTGATGGCACACCCTAGGCTCAAGTTGGGGCATCTTCCAGGAATGAATCTCTCACTCCTGTTGCCTAGTGTGACCCTGCACCATGACAGGATTCAACACTGGGCAACACCCAGTGAGGGGGTTGGGGTGTTTCCCAACCCTGATGGAATGCTATTCCAACAGTATGGTCTGAGTGGAATGCCCTGCAATCCTACTGCCATGCCAACATCTCTCCCCACCTAATAATCATTAAGGATTTGGCCTGTTTTCACCAAACTCTTGGTCTCCTGTGTTGACTTTCACAGGCCACAAAATGTGCCTGCCTGGGCAAACCACTGCTGCACCCTCCCTGCAATCCTTCCAATGTGAGGTGTTCCCACTCACCTAGAGTCCTACCAGCACTTGGAAAATCAAGACATAACTTGCAATGGAGAGGACTAACCCACACTTTACCTTTTGCACCACTCTCTTCAGGCGCTCGTCTACTTTTAAAAGCTCCGTGTCTGAGCAGTTTTGCTTTGTTTTGTTTGTTTTGTTTTGCCCTGGAGCTTTGCCCCCGAAAACGCACTCTTTGGCACCCAACTGGAGCAAACGTCAATTCAGGTTTTCTGGAGATTGCTGTTTACTCCAATTGAACTTTAAAGAACAGGTGAGGACCATGCCTGGCAAGAGCGTAGCAAAGATAAGTGTGGATAAGCCCAAAGTTACAGGGACAAGCAAACTCAGTTTTGGTTCCCTACCCTTTTTAAACCCATCATGAGCTAGAGGGCAAACCTCTGAACCAGGGCATGTACTCAACTCAGGAAAGATTCCTTACCTGGTTAAGAACTCAGGAGTTATATTTATGGTTATCCTAGAGCAAAGTGAGATTCCACTGTGAATCAGCTAAATTACCATTCATCAAGAAGTTGAATTCTTTTCATTTGGGTGTGAATAGGGACAATGGCTTGCCCTACCACAACTGATGTTAATTAATTCATCATGGCTAAGATGGTTGTATTGTAATCTATCACTCTGAAGGGTCACTGCTTATTTTGCCTGCATTTAAGTGCTAATTTAGTTGTCAGTAGCTGTACTTATTTTTTTCAATTCTCTCTGACCATACTGCTTGCAAATAATAATAATAATAATAATGGCAATTATTATTATTATTATTATTTGTATCCCACCGACCTAACTGGGTTTGCCCAGCCACTCTGGGCGGCTCACAGCATATATCAGAGCATACTAAAACATCAAACATTTAAAACTTCCCAATACAGGACTGCCTTTAAAAGTCAGATAGTTGTTTATTTCCTTAACATCTGAAGGGAGGGTGTTCCACAGGGAGAGTATCCCTACCAAGAAGGCCCTCGGCCCAGTTCCCTACAACCTCACTTCTTGCAGTGAGGGAACCAGAAGAATATTCTTGGAGGAGGACCTCAGTGTCTGGGCTGAATGATGAGAGAGGAAACTCTACTTCAGGTATACAGGACCGTGGCTGTTTAGGGCTTTAAAGGTCAGCACCAACACTTTGAATTGTGCTCGGAAACACACTGGGAGACAATGAAGCTCTTTTAGGACTGGTGTTATATGGTCCTGGCGGCCACTCCCAGTCACCAGTCTAGCTGCCATATTCTGGATTAGTTGTAGTTTCTGGGTTGCTCTCAAAGTTAGCCCCACATAGAGTGCACTGCAGTAGTCCAAGGGGGAGATAAGCAGAACATGCACCACTTGGGTGAGACAGTCTGCGGGCAGGTAAGGTCTCAGCCGGCGTACCAGGTGGAGCTGGTAGACAGCTGCCCTGGACACAGAATTGACCTGCGCCATGGACAGCTGTGAGTGCAAAATGACTCCCAGACTGCACACCTGGTCCTTCAGGGGCACACTTTCCTCATTCAGGACCAGGGAGTTCTCCACACCTCCTGTCTCCCCAAAGCAGTACTTCTGTCTTGACAGGATTCAACCTCAATCTGTTAGCCGCCATCCATCCTCCAACCACCTGTATATATATACCTGCCATTTAATATTGAAGTTCATGCACCTGACAAAGCGAATTCAAGTCCATTGCAACTTTTGCCATCATAAATTTGCAAATCCTGAAGATGTGACCGTTTTCCCTGCAACACAAAGTAACACATCTACTGCTTTGGAAACTGAATAAACATAGAAATGTAGGGAGCTGGCTTATACCAAGTCTGACGTTGGTTCTTCTCTTTCAATGTTATCTATACTGACTAGCAACAGATCTCCAGGAACAGGTACTATAGGAATTCTGCTGTTGTGGCTTCTGATGCAAACTGAGCTGATTCACCCCTCCCTGAATAATGTGTGACTTGGAATACAATTATCCTGCAGATTTCACACTCCTAGTGGTGTAGCAGTAAATTATGAAGCACAGGAGCTCATAATGATGGACCCTATAGCCATGTCCCCATGGAGAGTCCAAAATGAAGGCAACTGTGTTGCTCAATGTATGAATATACATATACACACACTACAAAGCGGAGCAGTGCATAGCAATGTCCTCAATTTATTAGGATCAGCTGACAGTAAAAAAAGATATTTGTTGAATAAAATAAACATAAAAAAACACTGAACTTTAACCAAAGATCTTCAGCAACCTGAAATGAAATGCAACCTTTGTCTTTAATTAGGTATGAAAATAATCTGGCAAAGAAGTGTTGCCATTAAATCAGCTATTCTGAAGGAGAGATCCCATCAAATAAAAGGGAAGAAGAACCTAGCCTCTGTTTGACTATTTTCCTTGTACCCTGACTTCCTCCATGCTGATTTGTGACCAACACTAAGAAAACATGAATGTCTCATCACCTCATTCACCTCCCTCGATTACCCAGGCACCCTAGCAGAAAACATCATCACTCCTGCCCTGAAAAAAACCTCCTGGAGCTTCCCCCTTCTGTGCTCCCCCTCCAGTACATCACTGCTTGCCTTTTTGAATTTTGCAATACAAATTTCAGCTAATAAAATGCACAAAAATGCATTTTAATGTGTGTGTTTTTAATAAGCTGCCTTTAGAAATGTATACAATGAGACACAAGATGCACTTAAATATATATTTTGCTATAAAATACATTTAAGTACAAATTGTAATAAAATGTTAAATACAAATTCTCTTATCGGTGTTTCTGTTGAATAGATTACTGTGGAAATGAAATAAGCTAATGACTGAATACATCCCAAATTGGTACAAGTCAGAAATAGACTGATCCATTCAACCCTAACTAGAAAACTGGGGCTATCGTTGATAAATGGGTGCAGCCGGGGCGTGCGCAGATCCCAGTTTCAAAACAACCACTACCACTGGGTCATGCTTTCTTCTTTAAACTATTTGGGAAGGTGAAGGAAAGAAAGTGAAAACAGGCTGCTTGGAAAGAGCAGATTAAAGCTCCCCATAAGAAAATGGCTGCAGCTACAAGACAGATATCATCTCCTGCTCCATCAGCATTTGCCAGCCGCCAGGAGTTTCTCCCTATTCCAACTTGTAAGTTCTCCCTTTACGACTTCCCATTCTCCTCTGCAGCTTTTTGTCAATAGGCCATAAATCTGAATACATTTGCAAGTCTAATACTGACTCTACTCACAGCGCTTCTCGCTGTATTGCCTCCCAAGTGCCCATTATTGTTTTAAATTTGTACTTACATACTGTATGGGTTTGCAGCTTGCATTACTCATTGGCATGCTGCCCTAGGAGGAAACACACAGCATTTGGTGGCATATAGACTTTCATGTGGGAATAGCAACCAATATAAATCTAGATCAGGCTCCTAAATCAAACAGGGATTCGGTTCCAAATAATGACTGCACATTATGCAGCCAGAACATGCACACATAACACCCACTCGCACTGCTCTTAGATTGAAACAGCCTCGCTGAAAAGTCTGCATCCGTTCTATGCTTCTACTCTTGTTTTGAAAAATGCCTGGCTTGATAGGCATAACATTTGGGCTTTTCTAAACAGCAGGAGATTTCAGAGGCACTTTCTACTGCCTTTAAACACCCATGCTGGCAACATCCCAGTGTCAAAGTATTATCTCTTGTTCCTTCAAGGCACATTGTTTTGTTTCATGGCACCAAAGCACCAAAAATACATCTTGAGTGACCTGTCAATGCACAAGAAATGGAAAGCAATGTGTTCCGAAATGGCAGGTTAAGAAAAAAAATTGTGTCTACCTCCAAGCCTATCACTCCAAAACCGTACTTCCTGTGGCTTTTGATGGATTTGTAATGTGGTTTTGATGTTTGCAAATACCTCCAACAGAGGATTTCAAATTATTTCATGTGTTTCATTTTCAATATGCTACCGTTGGCAACGCATAAAGAACACATGGAAAGTGTGTGAATTGCAAAAGATAGAGGCTGTTTAACTCTCTAAGATCCATCCCAGATGTACAGCCCTAACTCAAGAGCAATATGCTTCCAGATACTCAGAAGATCATATGATCCCTTATAATTTCTCAACATAAAGTCAGGAAAGACAAGAACCTGCTAGAACATTTAGGGGAAAGCAAGGAAGACAAGATACATTGATATTCACAAGAATATATTTCAAGTCATATATAGGGTGCGGGGTTAATGGATATGCCAATCTTTCATGAGGGTTGAGAGGAAGAATTATAATTGGCCCTGTAAAGGATAGAGCCTAGGGTGACAGCCTTGCTAATATTCCGTAAGAATTGGGAGTGGTAATATCCCTTAAGAACTTTTTCTCAACACCTCTGGAATTAAGAAACAAGACATTGTAATTGGGCTGGCCTATGGGTCATGTCTGATCTGCAATTTAATAGCTAGTTAATATGAACTTCACCTACTTCAGTGCAGGTAAATTTGCTGCCAGCGTGAGAGTTAGCAGATGGCATCTATTGCTGCTCATCTTATGTGGGTAACAAAATTCAGGTCTAAGCACTGAGTTGACAATCTAACAAAACAATATTTGCTTTTCACTATCCCAGCAACTTTATTGTGTGTTAAGGAGGATGTGTCAATGTCATCAGCCTTGAGCCAGTGCATGTTATGCTCAATTTATTTTATTTAAAAGCATTTATAAACTACTCTTTTTTTTTTTTAATCTAAGCAGTGTAGGGGCCATCAGGGCCTGGAAGGGGGAATGTTTCCATGCTTCAGATCGCTTTGAGTCATTAAACTATGAAGGATCTATTGGAATCTTCCTTCATAATTTTGATGCCTTGATGTGTTCAATCATGTCTCTTAAACCTTCCTTACACTTGCAACTAAATCCGCCATATGTCTCAGGTTCAAACCCTGGCATCTGCAAGTAGGTATGGGAGACACTGCTGTCTGAAATCCTGGAAAGCTACTGCCACTCAATATAAAGACAATGCTGAGTTAGGTGGACCAATGATCTGACTCAGTGTACGTCAGCTTCCTATGTTCCTACATCCTTCTCTGTCAAAAGCCAGATTGCAGGGCAGGTTTCTTCCCAGACCTGCAGCATAAAAGAGGTGCACCTTATATCAACACCACCATACCCATACCTGACTGGGCAGCATGAGCCTTGTGCAGATGACCCAGTTTATCTGCCCACCTCTCTTACTCTAAGGAGAATAAGGGCAAGATACTGGCCCCACACAAAACAGCCTGGGAACACCATTCCCTATACTGGTTGTGATGATAGAACAATGTGATATGAATATAGTAGCCTCAGCCATTTTCATCTGTAGGAAATAACTACAAGTTCTGGTGTACTGAAAACCATAATCTGTACCAATCATGACCTGCATTAGCCCAAAACATTGAGAAGAGGACAGTTTTGGAAGGCAATTTCTTTAGGATCAAAATAGCTTTCACATGTGTGGATTTATTATGTAGCTTCAGTAGATGAGTAATGTCAAAGTACTTATGGAGATGTCATTTAATTGTCTGCCTTTGTTGCCCAAGGGAGGAATCTCTCTAATAGAGGTTTTTACAGCTTTTTCTTTTCATCACACTGATACTTTCTCTGTCTGTCTGAAGTTTGAGTAACCTGTATCCAGGTCAGTGGGACAACTGAGTGACTATTAAGAGATGGTAGAGAATTATTGATTTAGATGGTTTTGTGCACAGAATTTTGTGGTTGTGATTCAAATAAACTTTGCTTGCATCAGACACCCTCTTCTACTAAGTGATTACTTATGTCCCAGTCAATTGTACATTGTCGGTGTGCAGTAGATTCCACAATCTATTGTGCAACAAAGTTTTCAGCAATCCATTTATGCTTTCTCATGTGCAACAATGTTCTGCTCATGCACAACATTTCACCAGTGGAACAAGTATACAGCTAAACAGCTAATTTAATTTAGCACTACATTGGATACACCCTTATATGTGTATACTATATGTATAATATAATACGTATAATAATATATATAGTAATGCATATAATTTGTAAGATTAGTTCATTTTTTGGCAGAAGCAAGGTGGGGGACATCCTTGTTGTTGAGATTAAGATCAGAAGGGGAGGATCAATGTGGATAAGCTTGACATCAAGATCTTTAGAAAATTCCATCCCTAGTGAAGATGACAGCACCACTCCATCCCTGAAACAGTTCTGCACATACACAGTAAGGAAGAGGAGGAAAGCTTCTATTCAACCTTTGGCCATCCCTATGACAATCTCTTCATGCACAGACATTGAGCCTGTAGCAAACTGGTTTATGCCCTTGTTTTTTCTGAAGCGGTCTAATGGAAAATGGTCTCAATTGTTCAGTGGGTAGGAAATCCATGCATAGACACTGGTCAATGGCAAAATATAGCACTTATTCTGAAACTGCTAGTCTGAATCCACTTAATCTACATAGTTGTCGGGATGCGGTTGGCGCTGTGGGCTAAACCACAGAGCCTGGGACTTGCCGATCAGAAGGTTGGCAGTTCGAATCCCTGCGATGGGGTGAGCTCCCGTTGTTTGGTCCCTGCTCCTGTCATCCTAGCAGTTTGAAAGCACGTCAAAGTGCAAGTAGATAAAAAGGTACCACTCAGGCAGGAAGGTAAACTGTGTTTCCGTGCTGCTCTGGTTCACCAGAAGCGGCTTAGTCATGCTGGCCACATGACCCGGAAGCTGTACGCTGGCTTCCTCGGCCAATAAAGCGAGATGAGCGCCACAACCCCAGAGTCGGTCACGACTGGACCTAATGGTCAGGGGTCCCTTTACCTTTACCTTACATAGTTGTTAAGATAGCATTAAATAGCATTATTCAATTATTGTCCCCAGTTATGAGATTGCCAATGTATCTGGCAGATCCTTAAGTGTATAATCTGTCACACAGCGAAGTCAAAATGCAGTCTTCCCATTAAATGAATAAAACTTTACTGAGGCAAAACATACTTCTTTACAAACACATAATGTAGGAGAGCAAGGTAAAACAGAAGAAGATTAGACTACACTAGAGTGCACACACTGAGCCCATTTGTATTTATCCTTTCTGGCTCCATGTCTCTTCCTGTAAAAGATACAATATTTGTACAAGGAATGAGCCATCTAGAGGATGAGTCAGAGTGAGTCAGCTAGCTGAATGAGTCTGCACTTTTCAGCATTTTTCAACACTTTCTACACTTTACTGCTTCTGCTCTCAAAGACCTTTGTCACATGACATAATCAAACCATGGGTGGTGATTATTCTCCTTGAGTAACTAATGGGTTGCATCCAGTGCAGCGCTTACTAACTCATTCTGTCAGCACAAGGATTTACACTTGTGCAATGGAAGTTTCCCCCTTTATTTGTGCCACTCACTCCTAAATCTGTTCTGTGGTTTCCCACAACTATTTGGAGCAGCTCTGGGGAGTAAGCGAAGGAGGGTTCCATTGCCCAATGTCCATATGTGCAATTTGTCAGGCAGCTGTTCAAAGTAGAGTTAATTAAACCATAAGAGGGCAGAAGGAACACACATGCTCAGTCTACTGCTTTCCAGGGTCCTATAAGGTGCAGGGAGCATCCACAGATACAAATGGGTGGCCTTGCATGCATTGGAGAGCAACTAAAATAGCAATGGAGGGGGCATAGCTAGCATTCTCATCCCTGATCTCTCTCTCTCTCTCTCTTGCACACACACA